GCTTCCTATTACTCTCCTCTTGCAACCAACTACTTTATCACACCCCTACTTTGTCTAATTTCAGCTGTTTTTTATTATGCACTACTTGACCTCTCCCCGGTCTCTCATTTTATCCTCCTTTTCCTTTTGTTTAGGCCCCCAGTGTTGGTTTAAGCCTCACTCCTGTGTTCTTCTCTTTTGAGGCTGCAGTTTCCACACAGCCCCTGTAGAAAATGTGTGTTTTTGTGTATTTTTGTGTGTGTAGGATAGATTGCCAGGCTTCTTGTCAAAAAACAGATGATTTCCTGCACCTCTCCCAGTTTTTCCTCCTATAAAGGACAAAGAAGAGGATGAGTGTTTTATTTCCCTGTGAGATGCCCTCTTCTGGTGGATGAGAGAACTGACAAATGAGGTGACAAAGATGATGGGGTGATATGAGAGGAAAAGAAAGAATAGACGGAGCAGGAGGGCAGGTTTACATAAGGGAGAGGAAGGAGGAGATGAGAGACGATACAAAATGAGGAATAGAAGAGACGACATGATTTGAGGTGAGACGAGAAAGAGAGCTAAATATAGTAGAGGATATAGGAAAATAATGAATTGAGAATGGTGGAAGTGAGGAGAACAAATGGTAAATGGTGGGTGAGGAGATGAGGTGATGAGAGGAAGAGAAAGAAAGTTATAAAAGTGATTGTATCTCTTGTATCGATGGAACAAGCCCGGTGAGGAGATTACTAAGTATTTGATTTGCTCTGTAGTCAATTTCCTTTGTGCTTACTTTGTCTCACACACACACACACACACACCCATAGAGCTGCAAAAGTACATTATTGCACATCAGCAGCTTGTTATTGCCATTATTATGTGGCTCACATTTTTAAAAGGAAAGTTGCACTGTATTAGACACTGTGTAAATCCAATACGGAATTGATCACGACACTGGGCCCATTTTAAAATGGCAATTTTGTTCCAAGTGTAGAGAAGCCAAAGCATCTGAAGAGGTGAAACAATGGCCCCCTCCATCTGACTTTGGGTTATTTTTACTAAACACTTCTGTTGTGTGTTTCTTTGATTATTTGATCCCAAACCCAAGAACCACAGGGGAACAAGAAAGGCCACTTATACATATGGATTCTTAGCCATATGTATAAGTGGCCCGAAGCAAACACTGACTTCCACCTCAAATGTTCACAGTTTAATATTCAAGTCATTCTTTATTTTTATTTTCCTGCTGTTTACTTTTTTCTACTTTTGATGATTGGCCACAGAAAGACGCGTGACAGCGGAGATGGAAGTGAGAATGAACAGAGAGAGGTGTGGGTATAGATAATGAAGGAAAGGTGAAGAAGTCTGGTGCAGAGACTGGCCCTGCAAAGTCCACTTAAATATTTGCACAAGGTTTTTCCTTCCTACCATCACTCCATTATGTGGAGAAATGTTTGGTCCCAACTGTGAAATCCGGCACAAACCGTGAAATGTGGATGGATGGATATTTAGGGCATAACTTATTTTTTTAATACCTTTTCTTGTTGGCTGGATCCAGTGTTCCAACAATTGTTGAGCGTGCTGATTGATTCTTAGCTGAATTTCTTCCACTGGTTCACATATAAGCTACAGGCTGTTGTGTTCATAATGCATTTAGTACAACGAATATGCAGAAATCCCTTTAAAAAAGGCCAACTGGAAAATCATAAAGCTATTTTGTAGAAGCTCATGCTGTGTACTTATAAATATTTTTAATTCACATTTGTGTTGAACTAAAAGAAAAATCCAGGTTTTATTTATCAGGGAGAAAAATTGAAATTACCTTTAATTTCCATGGCTCTGGCTGTGTTGACAGTATAGCTATAGAAGCACAACATACTGGAGCAGTTCATTAGCTTTTGTTCAGAGCTTGTTGTTTCGATGCAAGAAGACAAAAAGAGAGTGGAAGGTAGTTGGCCGTTACCATCATCGGCCAAGACAAAGACTGCTTTTTTTTTGGCAATCATGCAACAGTGTGAAAACCTGAGGTAAAATGCTGAATACATCATTTTGGTCTATGCTATTTCACCCATGTATTTCAAAACCAGTACAGTTAATACCTGAATAGTCCTTAGTAGATCAAGCTAAGGGCCAACAATCCCTTCAAATTCAGTCAAGCTGCACCAAATTTGATTTAGTATTAGATATCTCCAAAACACTGAGTTTTTTCATTAAGCCCCTTGAATCCTCCACTTACAAACATACAAACCATCCAACAGGAAATGAACAGGGGTGAAAAGATAATAAAATAATATAACACAATGACTAAACGGTTATACTACAGTATACAGTATAAGCAGGACTTTGCCTTGGTTCAGAAGTCTGTCAGTTGATCTCCTCCCCACTGATTTATTTGTAGATATTTTTACAAACCATGTTCTATGATTTCATCCAGCTGTAAATCTTTTTTTCTTGTGGAGGCAGGGGTCGGATTTATTTACTTGAAATTTACAGGTAAAGAAAAATGGAGGAAAGTGCTAAATTTTAGAAGACATGGGAATTCTGGGTTCTGAAGATAAATGGTGACAGATGGTCAGAAGAAATAAGGAACTGTGTTATCATGGGGCATTCCCTCTCTCCTTTTGTCTTTCCACTGAAGGGCAGGTTTACATTGATTCTCTCTTGTGGTCTAATGGGGATTTTCTTCAGTTTTTGCAAAGCTGCACTCAATCACAGCTGCTGTGACACAAAGAGAAGGGAGGTTATGCCCCATGGAGCAGATTCATCTTCCAGTCTTCTTATGATTTATTCCTTTCTGGATAATACCCGGTCTCCAGTCCTACATATTTCAGTTTAGAAATGTGTCAGGGACATGTTCCTCACATATCCTCACACACAACAGAAGCATTACTCTCACTTAATGAGTCAGAATGACATTACCTTTGCTCTCATTGGGTTCTGAATCATATCGTTGAAACATATTGCAACAGTACAAATGAGAACACCGGTTTGATGGTGGCACAACACATACAGCATCTAGAGTCTGTGTGATGATTCATGAAAAGAGGAAGCATGACTGATTGCTGGATGAGATAGCAGCCAATAAACTCAGCAAACTGTGAATTATTAGTTATATGTCTGTTACCAATCAAGTGGCGTGGGCAGAACTAGGTGTTGTATAACACAAGTTTGTTTTAGTGCTGGACACATTGTTAGGTGATACTATAGATGCGGATGGTTGAGAAAAATTTGTATTTACAGGGGAGCTACCGTGCCATCAGCAGGGGAATCCTTCTTTCTCCTTCTCTTTGTCTATAATGGCCGCATCTCACTGTCTGTCAGGGATCATCTTCATTTCATTCAATCTCTTCATCAATTCACACTGGACAGCAGGAGCATAATCCATTGAACACACTTGAACACATTCATCTCCCAGAATCTTCTCTTGTAATTTATCTTAGTTTCACTCTGTCTCTGAAGCTGCATGGTAAATTTCAAAGGGAATATTGCTCTAACCTTACAATGCTAACTCAACACAACAGATTTAGAAAGAAAGTGGGAACAATAAAGTGAAATGAGGATAATGAGGCCAAATGGCCTCCTTTGAAATGGAAATGTGAAATAGAAACCAATCTAATGAGTGGTCTTCATTTTGGCACTTTTATTGGGGACCGATCTATTCTATTATTGTCCTGTATTGGGGGAAACAAAGAGCGCTTCTTTGTTAGATAATGGAAAAAGGGTAAGCCTTGTTCATCGTCTGTGGAAACCAGGCCAGAAGTAGCCCTGTTTAATCCTGAAGTAGAGCGCTTGTTAACCCAAACCTCAAATGACACCTGTCCCTAACTTTGTACTCAAAATATGGTTAGCCCTGCGTGGTCCTGTAGCAGAAACCAGGAGTGTTAGGCCTGAGTAGTGGTCAGTGTCCCAGTGTGTGTAATTCTGTGTGGCTTGATTGTATATAAGGGGTCTGTTTGGCCTAGGATGACGCATGCAGTCCACTCAATGTCATTCTAGTTTTATAAAGAGACCCCTGCTTGGAGGTTTGAATGTTGAAGACACAACTACGATTTCCTCTGTCAGCTCAAGGTAAACAATTCATTGTTTTGCAGCATTTTGGTCTTTCTGAATTTAATTTGTGAGATGCATGTGGAATTTGATATAATTTCCTTGATAAACAATGGAACTGCCCACGTCCCTGACTAGCTGCATGTTAGAGAGAATAAAAACAGTTTTTAACATAACAACACTGTCTACACAAACAGATATAAAATCATTACAAGTAAAGTTTCACATTTACATTGCATTACATCTTATTCTCTATACAAACAATCACACACTCTACTGTCTCTGATGTACAGCCCATCAGGATGTGTGACCTCTGACAACCATGCACTGATCAGAATGTGTGAAGTCACCTGTAAACGCAGGACCCCAAGCAGAACTACAGCAGTTTGACTTTGCTGCAAAGCAGTGCAGTGTGGGGCAAGCATCTTCGCCATTTGCAAAGGGCTTGGGAGACGAGGCTTTTTCATTTGACAGATACAGATGATAAAAAGACTACCCTCACAGGGAGCGAGTTGCCATTCAATTTCTTACCATTTCACATAGAGAACGAAGAAGGAGGATCCCTCTTGACACCTGCTTGCTTTGTATTTATTTTCTTTTATGTCGGATATAGAGGGATACTGACAGAATGAGAGGAAGATAAAAGTTATGGATTTAGGGATTGACGCGATCTTTGCAAGGTCGGACAGAAGGAAAAAGTCTCTGCAGGAGGCCTGTTTACATGTTTCCAGTGGTCATAGAGTTTCAAGGTAAGGGAAACAACTTTTACTGAAGTTCAGTTTATTTTTGTGTTTATCAACTGGATTACATTTAACAATCTCAACAAACTACTGACATTGTTTTCACATTGTTAGGGAGCTGTGTGTAGCCTACTGAAGTAGTATAAGTTCAGAAATAAACTTTTACAAAGTTACTTTAAAATCGAATGGATCAGATCATGTGGGTTGACAGGGTCGTCCATTAACCAGAGGGTCATTGATTCGATCCATGCGGAAGTTCCCTTTGGCAAAATACTGAACCCAACACCGAGCCCTGACGACTTTGAAAGAAAAGTAAGTGCATGAATGTGTGTGAATGGGTACTTGAGTTGTCAATAACCCTGGAAAACCTGTGTGTGATTATGTAGCTATATTAAAATCCACACTTGACTATTCAATAGCAGGCATAGGTATTTTAATTTCTATATACTTAAAGATTTGCAAAGTGACAGTAGTTAGCATTAGGTACTTTCTTTCTTGGCAGGTGTGCCAGTGCGGTACGCAGCCACACACTGTGTGCGTTGGCAGTGGTTGGTGTTCTCAACAGCTGCATCACTGACACATTGGTTTTGGTGGTTGTCAGACACCTGTTGTTTGTCTATGCAGACAGAGTCACAGTCGAATCACCATCGGTTCCTTAGAGGAAATCCCAGTGAAAACAATAAGAAGTCTAAGATTCTCATTTAAAATCAAAGGGCTGAACTCCCCACAGAAGCAGAAAGGCCATACAAAAGGAAGGACGAGATATCTCCATTGGTCACATAGTTCTGTCTGAATATGAATCTTCTGTACCTCGTTGTATTTTCACAGCCGCACTTGAGTGGCCAGTGAGGAGTGACAGCCGAAGTCGAAAAAGAAGGATGTTATGCAGCAGAAGTCCTGAACCGCCTGTGGTGTCATCAGTCTGTATTTTGTGCCTTTTAGGGAAGTCACATGAGCACAGTCAAAGAGTCATCCTGCTCAGTTTGGCAGCTGTGCACATTTTTACTCAACTCACATTTTTCCCATCATGGAATCACTTCAGTGCTGTACTTGTAAAAGTGTTTTGTATTAGCAGTGTATAGTGATATTGGTAGTAGTTTTGCTCACAATCATCAGACCTGACTGGAGTTTTAGAATTTAAAGATATTTGTAAGTTAGTGAACATTTGGTTTTGGAGTATAAAACACATTTTTGTAAATTAAGGTAATTTACTTTTAATTGTTTTATTTTCTACTTTCAGTTTGATCTAACATTGACGGTAATGATGCATCATTTCCCGACTTTAGCGTCATACTCCACTCAGAAAAACGGTTAGTTAGTAGTGTATAAGTAGTGAATAAATGAGTGACAGACTTCAGGCCGGCTTTAACCACTAAGCAAAGTGAGAAGTGGCCAGAGGCTAGAAACCTCACTGCCCACATATTTCCATATATCTTTATGTTGGCATGGTTACATGCACTAAAGGGCAGCGCAGGGTTGAGAGTTTCTGACAACACAAATAATGGACCTCCTAAGAAAGTCCTTATTACTGTGCCTGAGAAAATAAACATCATGTAGTTGCCTGTAGTTTATTTCCACCACACTTAAGTCTCAGCTCCAAAAATACGGACAAAATGAAAGAGTATGAACAGAACACTCCATTGTTTTGTCCCTTACGTTCTAAATGAATGAATGAAACGTCTTATCTACCACAGAAAATTCAAGCCACAGCTCCCATTGTGAAGCCTTTATCGTATTTAACAAATACCACTGGTATCCCATCTAATAAGATGTTGTGAAATACTTTTTGATAAGTTGTAAACATTTATATGCCAGCCCTTTTGTTTGCTTGCCTATTGTTTATTTTACCGAATGACAGGACACCAAAGTTACACTGTTGTATTGTTTGTGTCTGTGATAATTTCCCCCCATTCACAATAAAAGTCAGCGAGCCTTCAATTATTTCCATCAGTCTGGAGGGACTACTGAAGGTTAACTGAACATGTTGAGGTCAGACGGAGCACATACGTCTCCTGATAGGATTCTGATAATAGTTTTAACTCAATCTGCATATGTATGTAAGCTTTGTGTGTGTGTGTGTGTGTGTGTGTGTGTGTGTGTGTGTTAAGGAGAGCAAAAACAGTGGCAAAGAATGTAGCATCTCTTGCTTCCACGATGAACAACCTTCTCATTATTGCTGTAAAGGTCTTTCTGGCTGTTTTGTTGCTTCATTGTCAGTGGAAGCGACTCCAGGCTGGATTACACCACCCACTGCCTCCGAGAGCAAAATTACATGCCGCCACTGTTTTGTTTTACACTCACACTGAGGGACAAAATAGATACAGCTAGAAATTTAATAACGGCCTCCAATTGTTTTTCATTTGTCAGAGGAATCTCTTTTAAATGTCCGCAAGACTGTGTGCTCCAATAGATCTGCTTTTGCCACAGTATTTATTTTATTGTTATCTTTGCCTGACGGGAGGAGAAAAGATGGGTTTTGTTTTCTCTGTTACCAGTAATATAATTGATTTTTGTTGTCAGCAAATGGATAATTTGTGAATAGGAGATGAGGGCTGTTGTTGCTGTGGCGATACAGAGACTTTAAAATGGTTTACCTCAAGCTTATGATACACGCGTCATCTATCTTTTACAGGTCCATGCTGCGGACCTGTAAAATAGCCGCTGAGTTGGTAAAAGTTAATATCATGGATTGTTTTTTATTTGTTCATCATCATATCAGTTGGAAACACAAATCTGTAGAATATCTACTGCAGCTGAAAAAAGCATGTAAGCATCAAAGTTACATGCAACATAAACATGAACAGTTACTAGAGATTCCAAATCAAGAACTTTTCTTCCTTTTTCTAGAAAAGACTAATGGATATTGATGACTGCAGTTTTTTTACATAACTACTCTATAATTCCTAAATTGTTTCTCATTTATTACTACGATTTCAAATAAAATTCAAATCTGGATCGAGTAGATTTAAGGTGCTGTGTCATAAATGGAGCTAGACACATGTAATTACCGGCAATGGCGCGGCTTGTTTTAAATTAAAGGGGAATTCATGTCTGAGTATATCACAGCTGCAGCCCTGGAGCTGGTAGGGGCTCTGCTTGTACTTGAGACAGTACACCTTACTGGAGATTGTGAATTGAGTTTGTATTCTTTTATTAGAACTTTGATGTCACAAAGCCATACTGGTTGGACAATGAATGGGTTCTAGAGAGAACCTGACTACAAAATGTGATGCTTTCTGGACTTTAACCTGCAGACAATAAACCTTGGTGTCATTTTGACTTCTATATTCAGCAAACTGTCTATTGTAATACACCCCCTTCCCTCCCAAAAAGCCTAAATTACTACATCTAGAACTCAAGTACTGACTACGACCAGATGGAGAACACATTACAGTTTGTACTTACATTGGTGTCCTATCAGTTTGAGCTTTTTGAGAATTTTCACTTGTCTTTAAAGCACTTAATGGTGTTGCAGCATCCTACTTGTCTGACAAGCTGACGATGCATGAACCAAAATGGCCCCTCAGGTCCTCTGGTGTGAGTCTTCATATTGCTGCAAAGTGCAGAACAAAAGGTTTTAGTGATGAAGCGTTTAGTTTTTACCCTCAGAGCTGTGTGGCTGAGGAACTGAGAAGAGCTGAAAACACAAAACTTTAAACCCTTGCTTCTAGTTTGTTTGTTCATTATTATCATTATTCTGTGTATCTAAGCATATCAAAGTTTTACACTGAAGCCCGATACTTAATGAGAACAATAGTCCTTTTCTTGTTGAACCAAGGTGACTGACTATTTGCACGTGTGTGTGTGTGTGATAGTGTGCGTGTGTGTGATAGTGTGTGTGTGTTAAATACTCATTCTTCATAATATACAGTGTATGCACCCTTGAGAACCCCACTCACTCCATGTCTCTTATTCAGTATGTGTTCTTGCTTCCTGGGCCATTGTTGCCCTCTCTTTCTCTCTGTCTCTCTTCCCCTGCAGCCTTCTTTATCCGTCTCCAACTTCCTTTGTCTCACTCTTTTTTTCCCTCCTGTCTCCCATGAGTACATCTCCCTCTTTCATCTCATCTTCCTTCCTACAAATTCTTTCTCCATCTCTCTCAATTTTTCTCTCTCGCATTGTTTAGCCAATGGCTGTCGGCAGTGAGTGACTGCATACAAACAAGACTCATGAGTTGTCGGCTCAAGGCCGTATACACACAACAACACACACTCTCACTTAGTCTCATGTTTAAATATGATTATACGAGTCATAAAGGAAATATGCACACATGCAGGGATGGTTTTTAAGCACTCGCAAAAACCTTGTTCATACACATTCACCACACACACACACACACATACACACACACATATTCAATAGACCCATCTGTCCACATGCTGCCATGTACATACTGCACTGATGGATCGAGTGGAGGCACATACACACAAACAAATAAACACCCATCACAGACAAGTACACACATACACACACTTCTGCACATAGCACTTTGACATACCACTTGGGCTGATGGATAGACATGGATCTGATTACCTCATCGCCTGATGTCACTCAACCCTATCAACAGCCAAGGCTTCTTACACACACACACACACACACACACTTGTACTTCTTTATTTGTGGGGACACATGCTGACACAATGCATTCCTTAGTGCCTTACCTTAACATTAACCACAAAAGCTGTATGCCAAAGCCCAACTTGTGACATAACACTAACCTAAACGTAATTCTAAACACTGAAATAAGTCTTAAACCTTAAACAGCCATTTGAAAGTCTGTTAGACAGTGAGCACTGACCAAAATGTTCTCACGTTCAAAAAGTATCCACATCCCGTAAGGACTAATAGTAGAAATACGAGTGCATGCACACACACACACACACACACACACATGCAAGTCTCTCTATAGTTGTGAGGACACTCATTGGCATAATGCATTGCCTTGACCCTAACCCTATCACAACTAAATGCATTAACCTAACCCCAGCCCTAACCTAAACCTATTTCTAACCCCAGAACCGGGTCTTAACCCTCAAACAGCCTTTTGAACTTGTGAGGACATTTCAGTTACTCCTCCGCTCTACATTATGAGCTGTTGGTATTATACATCTAACAAAGCAGCTTATCTTCTCTCAGGCATAAGTGGCATAAGAGGTCATTGCAGTTACT